TGACTTGTCATTATGAAGTGTGGTGAGACATGGTTATTTCTATATAAAGAGATCTGCCCAGGATCTTTTAAAAATCTCCTCATGTTATGTAGGATAGCCTTTCCTTTCCCTCTTTTCTTTAGTATAATAAATACAGAATTCAGTGCATGTGCTTAAGAATCAATATTAAGTGCATAGTGTTCTCATAAAATTGTGTAACTTGTTGGCAGAATTTTACTACACTTTTTCTTCAACAGTCTGAGCACATGAACTTTAACTTGTACAAGGCTTTGAAAGGGTCACATATGCCGGCTTTCAGAAAGATTGAGAAGAGTGGGGAGTATAAAGAGGGAGGACCGGAGAGAGAAAAACAATGAAAAGGACCCGTTGTTTGCTTCAATTTTCTTTACTCCTAAGAATTGCTCTAAGAAGTTAAAAATTTTGATATCGAAGACACTTGATGAAAAAGTACAGTAATTGAGAACCACCAGCTGGGTGAGCTTCAAACACATAATAGATTGTACATTTACTAAAATGGATGCAGTAACAGTGTGTGCTGTCTCCAAGTGCCTGTTTCATGCTGAAGAACCCCACACTTGGCCAGTGTCTGTCACAGATGAGTAATGAGTAAATGAGCTTGTCTGACTTCTGTGAACTCAAGGGTCTTAACTTAATGGTTTGTTTATGAAATAGAGCTGAGATGTTTTTCAGTGACAGCCCTTTCAATATTATCTTAGTAGATACTAAGTAAAACTCTTGGCCCTAAAGATCTTTTTGTACTCTTTCTTCTTTTTTTGTATTGAGTTTCTAAAGAGGAAAGTTAAGTCCCTCATGCACAAGAGCAGAATTGCTACTATTAGCCAAAATTATGAAAGAGTGTTGGGCTTTGTTTTTCTTCATGCTTTTTGGTGTGGATATAAATTAACCCTCCATACACACAGGTTCTGCATCCACAGACTCAACCAATTGTAGATTCCCCCCCTCAGTTACGTCTATATTGAATGTGTACAGACTTTTTCTGTGCCTTAAACAATACAGTATTGCACCTATGTATATAACATTTATATTTCAGTAGTTACTATAAATAATATAGAGGTGATTCTACGTATATAGGACGATGTGAGTAGGTACATGCAAATACTATACTGTTTTAATATAAGAAATTTGAATATCCAAGGATTTTGTTATTCAAAGTGGGGCCTGGAGCCATTCTCCCACAGATACTGAGCACTGACTGTATGTAGATAATAGGGTGCATTTTATGAAGTGAAATACCACTTTCTTTACCATTTCTAATATACTTTTTATTTTAGGAAAGATAATTCCTTTTCCTTTTTATATCGGAGAAGAAAATTAGTGATGTTAATTCAGCGAATATTTCTTGAGAACTTGAGCATGAGAGGTATATTCTGTGAAGAATAGTGATAACAAAATGCAGGCCTTCTTTTTCAAAGCTAACAAGATAATTGCCTTTAAAATATTGGTATGGCCAGGCATGGTGGCGCACACCTGTAATCCCAGCACTCGGGAGGCTGAGGCAGGAGGATCATTGTGAGTTCGAGATCACCAGGGCTACAAAATGAGCTCAAGGCCAGCATGAACTGCATAGCAAGACCTTGTCTCAAAAAGACAAAAAACAATTGATATGGAGCTATGGAGCAGTGAAGAAAAAAATATATTTTATTAATTATAGGATTATATAATATAGATTAGCAGAGCATTCAAACATTATAGTGAGGGCTGGAACTTGACTTTAGTCTTGGAGACTAAGATTTAAACTAGAGAGAGGGGACAAACAAGCCACCTGAGCAAAGACAATGACCAAAGTGGCAGTGGGAATGGAAAGGAAAGACTCATGAGAATGATTTTAGAGAGATAAGTGACAGGACTTAGGGACCACCTACTTTTAAGCAAGGTGCAAAAACACAGGAGAGAGAAGGTACAGAAATGATACCAAGGTCTAGGTTAAAGGAAGGGTGATGTCTCACAGAGATAAAGAATTTGAAACTGGTTTCCAAGAAAGGGTAATACTTGGTTTTAGATGTTTCAGTTGAAATAGTATTATTTTGTAGCAAATTATCCAAATGTATAATTTCATTATACATTTAGAAATGAGGGACTATAGCATGTTTGAAAATATGTATCACTAGAGATAATTGATCTGATGGTTATCAGTGTAGGAGGAATTTGCAAAGATATTAAATTCAGATAAATTGTTACAGTTCCCTTAGCAAAAGAAGCACATGAATTAAAGCTAAGTTTTGGGAAAAGGTGAGTGTGGGGCAGAGTGAGAAGAGTGGGACTGTTAGGAAGGGTGTGACCAACAGTGTCATGGCTGCAAAGAGGAGAAATTTGTTCTTAGAAGAATACACTGAATTTGGCAATAAATAAGACAAGACGAACTTTGTCTGAGTGAACTTACGGCATGAAATATTATTTTCTGTGAAATGACCACATCGAAAACCAAATTTCAAAAGGCTAAGGAAAGAGGGGTTATTAGGGAACTGGACAATGGAAAGTTCATTTGTCAGGTGGTAAAGTGCAACGACAGGAAGTGAAACTAAGAGTGTTTATAATAAAAATATTCTAAACATTTTGATGATTATATTTGATACCTAGTAAAGAATGATAGCTGGCAAAAGTTAAAATGGCAGCAGTCTCATAGGTAGGAACATGTTATTGACATTGCATCTAAAAGGCATTTAGATAAAAATGTGGAAATAGAGCTCTACTTTAAAATATAAATGTATACATTCTAAAAATGAAAACTACATCTTTCTTTGTTGCACAGTGGAATAATCAATGACATCTTTTTGATGATAAAGTCAACAGTGATTTAAGTGAAATATTTGTCTTGCTTTATTAGATACTTGCCAATGACTGCTGAGTTAGCCTGTAATTGTAAATATGTATATAATATTAGAGTGTCAGTTTCTCAAGTAGCTGATGAATTGTCATTAAGAATCATGTATAGGGATGACCCACCTTGTTTTAAATTTAGCTGTACTACTATCTCTATGTGCAGATTTAAAGAGCATGTGTGTTTGTATACTATATTTTCATTGAGTGTTGTAGTGATTCTTCAACAGAAGTAATGAGTGACTTTTTAATGTAGCTAAGTTCTTTTTACAATTGCCAATTTGTTTACTATTTTAAGATAATAGAATTTGGTTTAAGATACGTTTTCAACATATCAAGTGTAGAGTGTTTTCACACAGGTATATATCTTGCTACTCTTTGCTAAATATAGTCTTTGTACTTAGGACTGGGTTGTGTCCTTGAAAATGAGCTATAAACATAAATGATGCAAAGAGAATATGAAATTCCTGCATAGAGTTTTAATCAGACATTGAGTTCCCAATATTTTGTTGAAAAGACCCTAAGACCAAAGTGCTATAAATCATCGGAATCAAACACTATAGTAAGTTATTATGCTGTAAACTTTTATTATCACCTACTAGATAGAGTCCAGTATGCCACTGAGCAGAATGGAAAATAACAAAATAAGTAACCTACAGTTTCTGTTCTTAAGGAGCTTACTATAGCACAGAGAGGACATAATGGCTGGGTCATCATTTGAATTTGGGTTCTCGCCACTTACTTGATAAACACATGCTTGGGCCATTCATGTAATTAATTTAAAAAAATTTTTTTCTGAATGTCAACTTCCTTGTTCAAAAAATGGGGGTTATAGTATTTTGCTTTTATTTTTTTCCTTTTATTTCGTCTTTTTGAGACAGGGTTTCACTATGCAGTTCAGGTTGGCCTTGAACTCCCTTTGTAGCCCAGGCTGGCCTAGAATTTGCAGCCATGCTCCTGCCTCAGCCTCCCAAGTGCTGGTGTTATAGGTGTGCACCACCATGCCCAGCTGACAGTATTTTTCTTGAAGGCTTTTAAAGTTTTGAAGCCATGTAGTTACTTAGCACAGTGTCTTCCCTGTTAGGTGCATAGCTATTGGTAACTGTTATTGCCTTCCTCACACGGAGTTCTTTAATGAATATCAGTGTCTCTTCCCTTTTTGCTTACACCTTAATATCCACTAACATAAAGTTGTAGTCACTATGATATAGTATTTAACATTCGGGAAGTGACCTATGGTATCCCTACTGAAGTCAACAAGTAGCTGAGCAAAGGCTTATAAAATTTATTTTGACTTATTACAGATTTTAGTGTGCATACTGGAAGAGAAAGTCTTAGAGGCTGGGATCTGTTTTCTCAAAATTGGTTGAGCACATGAAAGCCGTTCATAAGGATCAACCCTTGAATACATGAAGAATAACTGGTCACAGGTTGTCAAATTATAGTTCCAAAGGCTACATTAATAGGGGAAGAGGGTACTTTTTTTTTTTTTAAGTCTTTTTGAGACAGTGTTTTTCTCTGCAGTTCAGTCTGGCCTTAAACTCATTTTGTAGTCCAGGCTGGCCTCAAACTCACAGTGATTCTCCTGCCTCAGCCTCCCAAGTGCTGGGATTATAGGTGTGCACCACCACGCCCAGCCTGGAAGAGGGTACTTTTTATTGGGAACATTTTCATGCATACACAAAAGTAGAAAAAACAGTGTAATGCTTTCCTACATACTGCCCATCACTGAGCACCAATAGTCAACAGATTTTCACAAAGAAATATTTTGGTCAAAATTTATGTCATTTCCAGATCTATTACAAGTATTTCTCCAATGTATTAATTTTTAATCTCATCGCATAGGTGTAGTTGAAATCCTACTTTAGCATTTGCTTGTTAGACAATAGTTGCTATTAATTTGAATCAATAGCTAAAGATTTATTTTCTTTAAATGTCATTTAAGATATTTTCATGACATGTTTAGTTTAATGTTTTTAGGACTTCTGTATCTATTTTAATTAAGTGTATTTTAAAGTTGTACATAAAATTTAAAAATTGCTTATGTTTAGGACACATTTTAAATCGGAAGACCAAAAGAAAAATGCATGGGTTTGTGACTTTTAAAAAAGGGAAAGGGTTAAATATGTTGGATAGAATATATTTTGTTCTTTGTTTTTAAGGTTTGGCTTGAGCAACAAGTTTGATACTGAATTTCCCTCAGTTCTAACAGGGAAGGTAAGTGGTAGTTTGCTTTGAACTTTCCAATTCTAATGCATTGTTTTATGCCTCATTTAGTGTCATGACAAATGCTTTGACTCTTTGGTAATGAACGCAAATAACAGGAGGCCTCTATTCGTGGAAGCTGTGTTGGGAGAGATTGAGAGCTGTCTCCATGACTACCAGCTTCTGACTGGTTATTTTGTCCTTTTTTCATTAATGCTGACCAATATTTCTTTAGATATTTAGCTGTTCCAGTTTTTCCTCTTTTCCTGGTATAATAGCTATGACTGTTTCTTTCAGTTAATAATTTTGAATGTTTGTTAACACAGTTCTTTAACTATATCACTATTATTCTCAGTGTACTGTATGGTGTGATTTGTTATACATGGAAAGAATAGAAGTTTTGGTTAGACATTTTTCTGCCTTTTAAATGCTTTGATTTTTCTAAACTTGGTCTCATCGTAATAAACTATTACCTTCTTGTTTTCTGATTCTTGTGCATTCAGGCTCAAAATTCAAAGATTTAATAGGATTCAAAACTATAAGTGTAGAGACTTAATATACTGCATGATGATTATGAATCATAATATTGTATTATAACATAGACATTTGCTGGTAGTAGGTTTCAGGTTCTCTAAGCACAAAAGTAAAGATAATTATATAAAGAGATAAATATGTTGATTTTCTGGACTGGTTATCATTTCACTGTGTAGGTTTATATCAAAACATCATGTTGTACACCTTAAATATGTACAATTTTTTAAAACTATATTTGAGAAATTGTGTTACAACAGTAATGGTAACTTTTAGGCCCAAAGGAAAATTTTCTGCCTAAAATAAAAAGATATTTACACTCATTTATTACTTGAAGAAATGTAAAGGAAAGAAGCCATTGGATTACAAAATATGCAATAATTTCCAAATGGTTGTTAGCTGAAAGTTTGGGTAACTGAAATGATGATTTGGGATTAAAAGCTGTTAATTTTTACATTTAGGATACTGTAATTTAATGTTTCTGTTTAGTAATTTTAGTGCTAGCGTAATGATATTTTTCAGTATAGGTTTTAGTTTTATTTCAAAACTGTCCCATTCTCTAATGCTATCTTTAGTATTAAAATTTTTCTCATATCATTAGTGAGAAAAGCAAAGTACACAGTCTAACACACTATCTGTCTATCTATCAATCATCTATCATCTACCGATCTATCTGAAATGGAAGAAATAAGCACATTAATGATTATACTTTGCACAAAGAAATTTTAGAAAGAAAAATCAGGGTTTTCAGAAAGAAATTCTAGAAAGATATATATATATATAAAATGGGAGAAATAAGAACATTAATAATTATACTTGCATAAATACATTTTAGAAGGATATACTTGAAACTAGTAGAAGTTATTATCTTTGACAGAAAAAGGGAAATAAAATGGATGAGGGTAGGGTGGGGATGAGGCTGTTTTTTGAACCTTTGAACCTTCATTTACTTCTAATTTGTTTTCTCATCTAAACTGTGAAAAAAACTGTTTGAGAATGGAATATGTTACTTCTACTAATATTGACTCCTTTCAGCATGGTGAATTTTCCAGGTGTTTGCTCTCTTCATCTTTAGGCTAATTTTAATGTCCCCCCCGCCCCCATGCACTTTGGGCATTGGTGGAAGAGAAAAAGATAGCAGGCATTTCTTTTTTCAAAAGGTAACTCTTAGCTTATGAGAAAATGTATTTAATTTAACCTTGAAAAGTGATTTATACTTGTTTACCTCATTTTCCCCTAAATAAAGAGAGCTAGGTTGACACAGCATACAGTAAACAAGCTACCTCATTTTCCCCTAAATAAAGAGAGCTAGGTTGACACAGCATACAGTAAACAAGCTTTGTAGCCAGATCTGGGTTGTAGTCCATATTGGGCAAGACACTTTTGAGACTCAGTTCTGATGTGAAAAATGGCAGTGATACTGATAGTTACCTCAGTTCTTAAAGATTAAATGCAAGTGCATCAATGAAGTTTCTAGTGTATCTCAGATACTTACAGATTTCCTAATGTCAGTTTGGGCTTGCTGTTAACTGTTCTCATTGTATCCTTTCACCTTGGTTATTTCTTTCAATTTATTCACTGGCTTTCAATTTCTAATTGCTCTTGCCCCCTTTTCTTCATCTGAGTTATATTTTATTCTCTAGTTTTACTACTAATTTATCCTACTGACTGTTGAACCTTTCTGTCTCTGCTAGGTATAATGTCAGATCATTCCATACAATAATAAGCATAGACCCTGCCTCAGTTAACATTTGAAAATATGTGACCATGTCACTTTTTAGTTTCAAAAACATTTTGTGCTGTGGAACCTTTGCCTCAGTCTATAGTATATTTTTTTCCCTATCCTTATCATTTAAGATAATTCACCAATTAAAGCAACAGCTTAGACTTAGGTTTTTTTTTATATAAATTAATCAAAAACATGTTCTGCAAATGAATAAAACAGCCATGGGAATATCTCTTGAATAATGACATACTGATAAGAAGATGGTAAATTCGTTACTAAAATGAAAAAGAATGCGAATTAAAACATCTCCAATAAAATGAGTATTCTTTTTGTTTCCCTTGCTGTTGGATTTGTTGTCTGAGCAGTCACATCTAGCATTAGCATTACGTACTTTTTATAAGTTTGAATTACAGGTCTAATTCTAGAAAATGAATAAGGTAAAAATGTCGGTGAATGTAGTTCCCTGGTGTAAGAATTACCTAATTTTGGAATTGGCCAGTTTCATGTACTCAAGGAATCTTTGGAATAATTTTTCACACCTCCTCATTTCTTCCCAGGCTTCCCAAAAGTAAAAGTTTCACTCACCCAAAGGATAGTATAATTGCTTAAATTAGAAGAGTAAGAATGGTAAACTGTTTTTGGTGTGCCTTCACATAACCTAAATGATGTGAATAGGACCTGTTCTTATAGACATCCATTCTTTCCAGGTAACCATTTTTTGTAGCACTTTTCACAAAGATGTGTGGGTACTTATTCCAGGGTGTATCATAGTGTACAAAATTTCTCTTGTATTGGATGAAGCATATATGATACTGTGGTAGTTTTCCTAGTGTGAAAAACATTAAACAGAATGCTGAAGGTCAGTTGTTGGTTGATCAGTTGATTGATAGATGGATTGATTTGGTGCCAAGGATGGCATCCAGGGCACATTGCATGCTGAGCTCTACCCTCAGACCCTAAAGGTCTGATTTTTAAAAGTCATATGACTGTAACATTAATTTCATTCTTTTTTTTTAATGAGAATTTTCTCCAAGAGGCACCTTTATTTATATAGGTTACTTTGGATTCTCAAAATACTTCAGTAACTGGGAGAGATCTTGTGTGAATGTAAAAACAAACAAACAAAAGAAGATCTGAATTCCAGACTGAATAGTGCTTGTGTTAAAATATTTTAAAATGAATAAATGCAATAGCTGAAATAGAAAAAAAAGCTATTCTTTATAAAATTAGTCTTCCAGCATGAGTGAATTTCTACATAGCTTTTATGCCTGTCTGAGGTAAGCAAAATTCCACAGTGAATTCTGAAAACCTAAAAACCTTTTTGCCAAGCTCTGTGGCTCAGTATTAATTTTTGTGCTTCTTTTGTGTTAATGTTCATAAAGCAGAAAAAGATAATCTTTTATTCAGTGCAGAAAAGATTGTTTTCACTATTTCACTAAAGATAAATCCACCTATCATGGTAGAGCATATCAAGGAGGTATATACACACAGGTTTTGGTAACCAGAAAGTGAAAGAACCATAGAACTTTGAAAAAGAAATTAAACCTTCCAGCCTTAGCTTTAAACAACTGAATAGTGTAGTATTATGGGGAGATTAGTGTGCAGTGTTGGGAATCATGAAGCCATAAAGTTAGACCTTTACTCTTGTTATCCAGTTTATGACAAGTGATTGATAGGGTTGTGTTCCCCACAACTGAAGGAGGAAATCAGTCCTGCTGGAATTTGTTTAGATATTTTCCTGTTTTCATTGTCTCCAGTATCCTGTTACAGAATATTAAGACCCTTTCTCCGACCTTTGTGATGTGATTTTCTTTTTTATTTCCAAGAGAGTAAAAGGAATGAAATATTTATTTAAAACCTACTACTCAGCTAGGAAGTAAGTGGCTTCCAGCTGACCTATATTACTAGAGATACTCAATCATGGGGAAGTAGATGAGTAAAATGTTATTTAATTCTGAATCTCCACAATTCATTAAACATTTCTTTCACATCATTTAAAATTGAGAGTTAACTAATTCTCATTTCCTATAACTTTATCTCTATTTTATGACCTTTATTGTTGTTCAAATACAGGTTTTGTTCAGAGGCAATTCTGGTTGCCTTTTAAAGTCAAAATGCATATCTGTTGTTTGACAGTCTAGTAAACGGTTTTCAATATATTTGCCTGTGTCTTCAAAAATTGCAATTCTCATTTTTAGTAACTTGAATATTTTACTTTTTATTTGTACAGACTATTTTAAGTGGAAAATGTTGGTGAGAAAGAAGGAAAATTGCCACATTTCAGGAATGTTTTTCTTTGACATACAACAAATTTTATATACCTTGGCATATAATGTATTTCCTTCACAGTGTTTTAAGTAAAAAGTCAGTTTTCCTTCCCTTTTTATTCCTCCCAGCTTTAATCTACCTCACATTTCTAACACTATTCTTTCCTAGTGAGAATAGTTTGCTTTTTGTTTTTGTTTTTTCGAGACAAGGTCTGGTTATGTAGTTCAGGCTGGCCTTGAACTCTCTATGTAGCCCAGGCTGGCCTCAAACTCACAGCAGTCTTCCTGCCTCAGCTTCCTGAGTGCTGGGACTACAGGTGTGTGCCACTACTCCTGGCCTACAGTTTGGTTTTCTAATATGTAAACATATTTTTTTTTCTTTCAGACTGACTCATTTCTGCATTTATCTTCACCCTGTACTTTTATTTTTTTTATCAGTATTTGTGCTCACTTTTAAATAAAAATTTAAATTCTAATTTTAAGTCCCTTAATTTCTTAATAAGTAGAGGTAATAATTTTATGATTTGCATGGGTTTATATCATACTTTGCCATATTTTTAAAAATGTGGCATTGATTCTGGGTGCACAGTTTAAAGAGATTTGGTAGTAATGTTAGGTTACAAAGTAGAGCTAAATCTATAAACATATTTTTCACTTTTACTTCTACTTGGTTACTCAGTGGTTCCCTAGGAATGGAGAAGTTGAATATTGCTGTTTTAGAGAGGTGAATCTTCAGATATTAACTTAGTATCTTGTTTTTATAAAGAATGTGAAAGAGTTGGCAGTATAGGTCAGCGCTATGGTAAAATATGTGCTTAACATACACAAAGCCCTGAGTTCAATTCTCAGCAACCTCCCCCCACAATAAAAAGGAGAAAGGAAGGAAAGGGAAAGGAAAAGAAACAGACTATCTTCTCTGAAGAAGTGAAGAGCATTGACTCTACATTCAAATGTAGCACATTCTCCTTTGGCTTATAGTATAATATATAGTAAAGTTGTAGAGTAGTAATTATATTATCAAACTCCTTGCCTCAGGTACAAGGCCATACAACAGTGAGCTTTTCTCCAAGTCTACTCAGAAACATGATTTATAAACTTCCTTTTTCAAAGTATTCTTATCATGAAGTTCTTTCTGATGTATAGTTTTCATTCTCCATGAGTATATAAAGCAAAAATTTTATTCCATTCTATAGATGCAAAAATTGAAACTCAGAAAAGTTAAATGATTTTCCCTGGGATTTTTCTTTTTCTTTTTTT